CTAAGCCAGTTATACAATTACTGATGCGCACCTCCAACCCTTACTTTAAATCATTGGCTTCTTGCAAAATCATTGTGTGGAACTTTTTCCTCTCTATCTTTGTCTCTGTTATTGCTTCAGGTTCCTCATTCCTCGCCTGCCTCATGCCCTACCGGCTTGGGCGGCAAACGCACCAATACTTCGGGACCGCCAACTTCTGCCTCAGTGTTCGATAGTGAGGCACTGGCTGATGAGCTAGAACGTCACGAAAAGATGCTGAAGGATTTCGATGACTTTTTGGCAGATTTTGTCAGCCTTGAGCACCTACCGGTGATGCTACCCTGCCCACACCCGACAACCGGCCTTGGCTCTGGCATGAGTCCGGCTCAGGGGCTTGGTTTCGGCCTAGCATCTGGATTCGGAATTGGTCTTCCTCAGCTCGGCATTGGTGGTGGTGGTTGCAGCGGCGGGGGAGGCTATTTGGCTTCAGGTCAAACTTCAAATTTTCCTCCGATGATGTTGCACATGCAACCAACTATTGGTGCAAATGCCTTTACCTACCAACATCACATAGCCCCTGTAATGGCTGGTGTGAATGAGCTCTCTGAAATGGGTGATCTTTATTAGAGAGCTGCCAATTGTATCATTTTGTTAATCTGTCTGTAGGTATCCTCTCGTATGGAGTATTCCAGGCAAATTACAGATGTAGTAGTGGTTAAAGCAATTGTTTTCGGCTGCGTGATACCGTAATTTTCTTGGGAAGCGCCTACACACACTGAATTGTCAGTATGATTCTTGGATTTTTGTATACAACAAATGTCTGTTATATATAAAGACCCTAATCTTTTACATGCCAATGTGTGTGTGATTTCGTGTTTACCAGTCAAGTTTGGCTGGTTTGTTAGCCTACATTAATCTATGTTGCATACAGATAGACGATTTATTTGCTGGGTTGAGTGGCCTGGCGTCCCTCGATGTCTATAATGTTACATCCAGTTGGGCGTCCTTATCTGCCCTTCTTTCTATGCTTAATACTCACTGGTGAACTGACCAGTCTGTCAGTTTATAGCCAGAATTTGCCAACGCAATTGTTTTTGTATCCTGTTCTTAATTCATATATTCGCCCTCGCCTCTTGGGCTAGGACATTAATAGCTGACTCTATGCGCTTATTGCCTTGCCTAAGCATCTACCAAAGGTAAGAACGCAACTAACATGCAATAGATGCCTTTATTACTGGAAGGTAATTAAGTCATCTTTATTATCTGAGCTTCATTGTATGTATCATATACTGCTTTGGTTTTATCTCTGTTTCCTCATGTGATGGCTTCTGTTCTGTATTTTGAGGTTTATTTGTCTTAGGAACGACTTCTAAATGTTGCCTCCGAATGAACGCAGATTTTGGTGGATTTTGCTTCTGTCGTCATCCAATTTTTCATTTTTGGAGGCATCTTTTTAATGATATTACTCTTCTATTTTCTTGTTTAGATCTCTTGTATCTTATTTTATTGTCACCGAGTGTGTAGTTGAAGCTGATCTAATCCTGATGAAAGTTTTTGTAGCCATTATTTTGAGTCCAAACTTCTATCACTCAGTCTTAATATCCATCCTTACTATGACGTTTTGTGAATATTCATCTTATCCCTTTTTGTGTGATACTTCTTATGCCCATCCTTTTTTATAATTTAATTTCGTCTCTTAACTATTAAGCTGATTTCTTGCTTTTTGCTTCCATATCTAATGATGCATTGCAAACAGATAATGATTTTTGTCATCTCATTCCGCATTTTTTGTACCAGGGTGTTTTTTATCTTCGATTATTTGACTTTACATTATCTCACCATTTTACCTTAGGGGTATTTTATAACCCAGGACTTTTGAGATTTACCCTCATACTTTACTTTGATCGAGCCATATTGTTTAACTAAGTGGGTTTTCCCTTTTATATTGCCATTTTTTTCATCTTTGACCGTACATCATGTTGCCTTATCCCCCCTTGACGAAGCATTCTTTTAATGTACAAAACTTGCTTACTTCTTTACTCATCATCTTTCTTTCATCATACTCTCCATGACTTCTTTTGGCCTTAAACTACAACCAGTTTTAGAGCTGGTTTTCTTTTTTTTGTTCGTTATTCCTTTTAGATACCACATAAACCACGAACACAGTCTCAGATGTCGGACTCTCCTTATATTGAATGATGTAGTTATCATTCATAGCTGATGACAAAAGTTCTTGAGCTTCATTTTTGCTGGCTTTATCGCTTGAATACACAAATTATTATTATTCACATTTTTTTAATAATAGATTTTTATAGTCTCTGGATTAGCCATATTCCAATGGTATATATGATCGTTAAAAAGCTAAATTATCAGTCAGAACCATCATCGAATTAATATATATACCGAACATGCTCCCTTGTAACTTAATCCTGGCGAACTGGTAACTCTAGGGGTTAGATGCTGCGAGTTTGCTTCAACCGCTTTAAGCATTACGCCTACAACAGTCACGCAAACATTTTAATGGTCATTATATTGCCGAGGTAGACTACATTGCCTCAATTCGTCATAGTCAATTTTGACACCTAATACTAATATACTAGAGATTATGATCTATGCATTATAAAGAGGCAATGGAAGGGAAACATGAAAGATTTCCAGTAGACGTTGCTATAGCAAAATTTATTGGCTTAAATGGCTTGACTTAGGCGGGAATTCCTTCATCTTAAAGCATTAAACACGATATCTAATAGTGCCAGATCCAAACAGTTTGCTTGATTACAATGAGAAAAGTTTCTTGACGCAGCTAACTCATGACAAAATCGTTTGATTGGGAGTAGCTTATTCCATAGACTTGTAAAGCTTGGTTATTGTCTGTAGAAAAATTAGGCTCTTCTTGCCTCTTCAAACTTAATAAGAGGTATTTTAGTAGTGACTATTATCCGACTATCATTTTTCACTGGCATGATTTCTTAAGGATATTTCATCTCATCATTAAATGAATATAAAAGTAGGTTTCTCATTGAATTTTGCTGATCTAAGCATCCTACCATATTGTTTTATGTCCAAGCCGGATTTGTTATAGCTTTTCATCGTCAGCATTAACAGCTGAATTCTAGATACGAAGAGAAACTTGGTTTCGATGAATCTCCTGTGATAACATTGTTAGGAGGACTTTCATTTCAAATGAAAGTACATGAAGAAGAGATTCGTTTGTTGATCTCACCAGATGAGGACGGATGAAATCGTTGTACTGCAGCCGCTTAGCTTTTATATTATATTCATGTTGATGTAGTCCACGAGTATTCCTCCCTCGTTTCGGGTAAAAACGTGCTGAACTTTCGTCCATCATATGATGGACAT